TGGGCGAGCGACTCAGAATTCACAACTCATTCGAGACTACTGCAACTGCAATGGGAGCAAGCCCACCGTACTTCACATTGTCGAGAAATCCTTTACCTTGACCACAGTCAGCTTCCTACGAGGAGAACGAAAGATTAGATTGAAGGTCATTCCGTCTACCTTCTGAACAGAGGAATAAAGTCTAAGGATAACTCATGTGATGTCAGGCAATGAAAAATTGCCTTTTTCAGAACGTTGGTGGACATGACGCTGGGGATTCAGCTTAATGAAGTGTCCCAAATTGGTGCATTCCTCTTGTCCTTTTTTACAGCGAGGATGATATTCTTTGTAATGAAATAACTAGCCGTTTATTTCATCGTCTGTTCTGGCCATTAATAGCATGGTGCCGATTTTCTTGTTGTCTTTTTCAATCTCTCAACTTCCTTTCAATCCTTTAAATCTCATAGAAGGGTATAAGTTATTCAGTGCTGCACCTTGCTGTACGTCATTGTTTTTCGTTTACTAGGAGGAATCATCGATTTCTGCATAGCAGGTTGATGGTGCGGTGAAGCGATTTATCCCTTCTTGAAAACTAATTGGATGGTAGCTCCCTTCTTCATCTTCATCTTCCATCGCCGCTTCTCCTTTCGGGTCGCGGAGGCAGACGCGTCAGACAGTGCTTCCAACGTTCCCGATCCTGTGCCAGATTCTGAGCCTCCCTATCCATTTTTATTGTGACTTTGGTTAATAAAACTGCCATTGCCCTAGATGGATTTCTGTTACAGCCCTGAGGCTATTTCTGATCAAGTGGTTATCCCTGCTCGTTATTCGACTGAAGTTATTTAGTTGGTAGAGAGTCGGACTCGGAAACGGGTGGCCAAGGTCACTCGCCTTTTTTCCTTCCCAAGTCGATAAATGAATAAACATGAGAAACAGTAAGCTCGCTACATTCCTGCTATCGACTGCGCTTTTAAAATAAGGCACTGCTTGCCGATAGCATGGAAATGGGGATCAGCACCCCATTAGTAACTTCAGGAAAAGTAGGGTGCCGGAATATGCCTGTTGTTAACTTACAAAATCGACGTTCCACCGAGTTACAAAATTTCCATTATTACCCGATCGTTTCATGGTTCAGCGCTGGATAGTTCGAAATACAAACGGGATACAGAGGATAGCTGTTATTATTATTTATTAGTAAGAATACACTGCACTGTACTGTCTGACATTTTGATTATGCTTTTCATGATGATCTTAATTATACTTTTCATGCTACCTACAAAGTTTCAGTTTGC